AAATATGGTGAGAAATAATATATTTGGCTGATGCTTCCAATTTTAAAGATATAACAATACCATATTGAGAAGTGCATTTAATTTTTCTGGTTTAGATGTACATTTTCAGTTTGTTTACAGTTTATAGTTATCTTCTAAAAGAACAACTTGCCCCAAATTCTTTTTTTTTTTCCCTACTGCTTGTCATTCCCTCCCCCCCCCCCCCCCCCCCCCGCCCCATCAGTGCTAAAAATTTTCTAGTGGTATTTGACACTAAATTGCAAGGGAATGTGTTCATTTCAAAACAATGAGAACTATACATAAAAATAGCAAGTAAACACCCTCTCTTTGTTGTTATATACACTATATCACAAAGTGCTTTCAAAGATGAAATCTCTTTTTCTTATTTAAAACCAGAGGCCCAGAGCACAATTTCGTGCCCCAGTGGGGTCCCTTGGCCTAGCCTGCGCCTTCTTGGAATCTGAGACCCCCCACAGGATATCAGACAGCTGGTTTCGGCCCTATCCCCGCAGGCCAGGTGGAGGCACCCACCAGTGCATGAATCTGTGCACTGGGCCTCTACTATGCATATAAGATTTTTGTTTAATTTCTTCCCATCCTTTCCCCTCCTCCTTCTCTCTGAGATTCACCAGCCTGTTCCATGTTTCCATGCATGTGTGTTGAGCACCTGCCTTTTGGTGGTATTACACATCATAGCTACTGGACAGTTGGTGGTTGGTCACTTAGGCTTTTACAAATATATAAATTAAAAAACAAAACAAAACAAAAAAACAAATATATAAATTAAAGGCTCAATGCACAAAATCTGTGCAAGGGGCTCAGCCTTCGCAGCCCCAGCTTCATCTAGAAGGTCATCGGGAAGGACGTCCAGAAGGTCATTTGGCTGTCTGATCTAATTAACATATTACACTTTTATTATTATAGATAATTATGTGAAGATATTAAACCCTGGCATTTAAGAGGTAGATGAATTGCCTGAAAATACACAGCTAGAGAGGGTAAGGGCTATCACCAGAGCTCTGATTGTCTAACTTCTGCTTATTAAGGGAAGCCACTTCAGTGTTAGTGAAGCATTTAGTGAAGCTGACAGATCCTATCAGCCAGACATGGGATTGAATCTGATTCTAACTGTGTTACTTTTGGCGAGTTTGCTCACCTAAAAGAGGAGAATAAAAACACTTCCTGCTTTACAGGATGTTTATAAAGAATAATTCAGATGGTTTAGGCAGAATGCCTGGCATATGATAAGCACTCAACATGTTATTTTTATTATATGATTTCTGTTCCACTTGTTTTGCCCTTAGAGCCTTCAAAGCCTCTATACCTAATCAAGTGCCTTCATTTGGACCCTGAAATCATTGTGTCCTTACCTTCTGCCTTAGTTTCTTCCATATCTTTCATGAACATGAAGAGGAAGTCATAAAACATTATATTTTCTCTCAAAGGAGTACTCAGAACTACTAAGCAATCTTTTCTCTAATTTCTGCTGATCTCAGTTTGCATCCCCTACTGTCGCTATTCTAAATCTCCTCCTCCTCACCCTGAAGTCCCTAAGCCCTCGTTGTCTTCATCACTTTCAGCCGATGGTCATATACTGTAATTTATTTGTTAAAGTTTGAGATGATGTGCCCTGAACTCCTTTAGTGTCCCTATGCTTCATCTGATTTCTGAACCTCTCCTCTGTCTCAGATAGAGTAACTTGTCTTATGTGCCAGGGCTCTTGAAAATGCCTCTTTTTGTTCCTTTGGAATGTTGCTCCAACAATTTCTCTCTCCCTCATTTGCCCTCTCCAGGTGCTCCTGACCAGGCCATGTGCTCCCCTCTGCCTCTATATCTTTGCACAATCTGTTCTGCCTCCTAGGAATTTCCATTCTTTAGCCTCCTTTATGCCTCAGCTCTAGAATTACGTCCAGGATGGCTGCCCTCCCTACACATCCCCATGACCATCTATAAACCCATGCCTCCACCGAGTAACCATGAGCTTCCTAGGGAGAGGCCCCATGTCTGAATGCCCAGTGCTGCTATCCTGCTTAACCCTTAGTAGACAACAATACATGTTAGTGGGAGGAAGATCTACAAATAAGCATGTGTCTTTTCTACAATTTAAGGATAAACCCCTCTTTACCCTGGTATTACCTTCCTCTCATCATTCCTTTAACAACATTCTACTTCCAAACCACACATTCCCTTGCAATTTAGTGTCCAGCACCACTATTGAATCTACTGAAAAACTACTCATGAAGGTCACCGAAGAGCTTACGTGTGGACCACATCCTCCTTCTCAAGCCTCTTGCCTGGCCTGGCTTCTGTGACTATGAAATATAGATTTGCTTGATGCCTCACTAAACTTACCTTTATTAACTCCTTCACTGTTTTTCCCAAGATTTGGTTCATTTGTCTTTTCTTCTTTCACCTTATCTCCCCATGAGCATAGACTCTTGGTCTGCACTGATAACACACAAAGTTTCTTTGTAGTCAAACTAGCATCCCAGTTAGTCCAACAAGGTTGAGTCCTGAATGTTCATTTTTTTCTGGGGCAGAGATGGTAGATACTTGGCACTCAAGCTTCCATTTGCCACTGTCTCAGCCAAGATGAAAATTGTCTCACCCAAGACCAATTGTGCCTATTTCCCAGTGAGGGCAGACTTCTCCTCACAGTCCTTTCCTTAATCTCCTTTACTGTTTGACACAAATGCTCTGTCTTCTTGGAATCTTCATTCTTCACTATTCTGGACACCTATTTCCTGATGAACAATTTAAAGACATACTAGTCATCCCTATATTATGATGACACATTTCTCAAAATCATATCAAACTCAACAAGTTTAAACCCAACTTGTTATATCCCTCTGTCTTCAACCCAACTTCCTTCTACTGACTACACTGGTTTTGTTCCACTTTCTCCCAGATGACTACTAATCATCTTTGCCTTCTCCTTTGTACTCCACCAAGTTAGGTGTCAGTTGTATTCATGTATGTCTCTCATTCACCCCTTTCTATTATTGGGTGCCACCATCTTGGCTGGCCCTTGTTACCTGGATATGGGCTGTTAGAATAGTGTGCTGTCTGGTCTTCCCACTGCCAGCTTCTCCCACCTTGCTCTAAACCACCTTGCCTCCAGATCAGTCCTCTTAGAGTAAAACCTGGGTTATATGGCTCTACTGCCCCAAATCCTTCAATAACTTTCTATTACCTCTTAAATAAAACCCCAATTCCTATAAAATTTAGTAGAGTACAATTACTTTGATTTTTTTTTTTTAGTCCAAAATATTTGGATTTAAGTTCTGGCTACTATATTTACCTTTTCTGTGCCTTTGAACTTATTGCTTAATTTTTATTCAGCATGTATATTTATTTAACATCTACTGTGTTCTAGACTCGGTGCCAGGTACTTGGGATATAGTGATGAGCCAAACAGACCTTGTCCTTTTTCTTCTGAACCTTACAACACTTAGACTTGTCTCTTTCTCACAATCACAGCAGTCCTGCGTACAGGCCATGCCTCCCTCTCTTGATGCTTTTAGCATTTGGTTTGTGCTATGCAGGGTATTATATAATGCCAGATATCATAGTTATTTGCATATGTGTTATCTCTCAACCACATAGTAGGTTCACTGAAGGATAGGGGCCATCTCCCATTTCCCACACTGAAAGCATGAATTCTGTTGTGATTTTTGTAGGCCCAGGAGTAGACTTCAGAATCATTATAATATCTAGTATGTTTTAGATGCTCCATTGTCTGTCAGATTTATGCATTAAAAAGGGGAAATAAATAAGGGCTATTTAGTTTCTATTCATTCTAATGCCTATCCTTCCAGCCTACTACTCATCTATAATTATTATAAGTAGAATTTTGCAATGTTTATATCTTGTGTACATGAAAATTTTAAAAACTGAATCACAAATCCACTCTGCTTTCTAGTAGAAAATATTCATATGCATAACACAGAATGTTAAAATAATGATCTTTTACTAAATAGCTTTTGACTTGGTAATAAACAATATGCTATTTTTCCCTGTGAAATAATTCCAGGACTTTAGTCTTGAAGGTTAATTTTATTTTATACATTTTCAGCTTGCTGTTTTTATGTTCCCATGACCTTACATTAAGTTAAGCATTTGTCTATCCAAAACAATAGGTTAACTATAGCTGAATTATAACCATACCTTTCATCTGCACACAAAATCCTATTATAAACAGCATGTGACCATTTGCTTCTAGAATTTATGATTGTTTTGTTCCAAAAGGAAGCTAATTTTAGCCTTGTAACTCTACATGCTCCCAAGGAAACAATGCCTGCTGTGATTTCTTAGAATAAATGCATCTGAACCACAATTCCTTTACTTGACTGAAAATTTTGAATATCAACCTAGTCATTAACCACAGGTATTAAACCACATTAAACAAACAGCAAAGGGTTAAGAAAGACACTTCTTCTGTTTCTCACTTCATTGCCGAATGAGTCTAACTTGGTTGCACTATCATTCTTAATACAGAACATTGTTTGCATCTCATAATGGGTCTCTAAAATTACTCATTCTGGTTTGAGTTCTCAAATTAAACTATGTGGAGTCATGTCCAATGTCACAATGCATCTTTATGTGAAACCGGCTAGAGTTTTTGTTTTCACCCGATGTAACATTTTCAATAAGGAAGCTTTGTTTCTGATAGCTTCCCTGGTAGAGTTCTTTCCATATCTTCTTTGTTTCTAATGACAACTAAATTGCTCTCTCCTGCCGAAACCGGTTTGGCTCAGTGGATAGAGCTTCAGTCTGTGGACTGAAAGGTCTCATGTTCGATTCCCGTCAAAGGCATGTACATTGGTTGCGGGCACATCCATCCTGGCAGGTGGTCGATGTTTCTCTCTCATCAATATTTCTAGCTCTCTATTCCTCTCCCTTCCTCTCTGTAAAAAAATCAATAAAATATATTCAAAAATAATAATAAAATAAAATAAATCGCTCTCTCCTTGTGTGTGTTTTGGCAGATAAGCTCTACCATGAAGGCCCCTACTGTGCTTGCACGTGGCATCCTTGTGCTTCTGGTCACCTTGGTGCAGAAGAGTGATGGGGAGTGCCAGGAGGCCCTGGCGAAGTCAGAGATGAATGTGAACATGAAGTATCAGCTTCCCAACTTCACTGCGGAGACGCCCATCCAGAACGTCGCTCTACACAAGAATCACATTTACCTCGGTGCCATTAACCACATTTACGTTTTAAACGACAGAGACCTGCAGAAGGTGGCCGAGTACAAGACAGGGCCCGTGCTGGAGCATCTGGGTTGTTTCCCATGTCAAGATTGCAGCCACCAAGCCAACGCTTCTGGTGGCATCTGGAAAGATAACGTCAACATGGCTCTGCTGGTGGACACGTACTATGACGACCAGCTCATTAGCTGTGGCAGCGTTCGCAGGGGGACCTGCCAGCGACACGTCCTTCCTGCCTACGATCCTGCGGACATACAGTCCGAGGTGCACTGCATGTACTCCCCGCAGACCGATGAAGAGCCCAGCCAGTGTCCCGACTGTGTGGTGAGTGCCCTGGGAACCAAGGTCCTGATGTCTGTAAAACAGCGGTTCATCAACTTCTTCGTGGGCAATACCATCAGTTCTTCCTACCCTCCAGATTATTCTCTGCATTCAATATCAGTGAGAAGGCTAAAGGAAACTCAAGATGGTTTTAAGTTTCTGACAGACCAGTCCTATATTGATGTTCTACCTGAGTTGCGAGACTCTTACCCCATCAAGTATGTCCACGCCTTTGAAAGCAACGATTTCATTTACTTTTTGACAGTCCAAAGGGAAACTCTCAATGCCCAGTCTTTCCACACAAGAATAATCAGATTCTGTTCTGTAGACTCTGGATTGCATTCCTACATGGAAATGCCTTTGGAGTGTATACTCACAGAAAAGAGAAGAAAGCGATCCCCAAGGGAAGAGGTGTTTAATATTCTTCAAGCTGCATATGTCAGTAAGCCTGGGGCCCATCTCGCACGGCAGATAGGCGCCAACCCGAATGATGACATTCTCTATGGAGTGTTTGCCCAGAGCAAGCCAGATTCTGCCGAGCCGATGAATCGCTCTGCCGTCTGTGCATTCCCTATCAAGTATGTCAATGAATTCTTCAACAAGATAGTCAACAAAAACAATGTGAGATGTCTTCAGCATTTTTATGGACCCAACCACGAACACTGCTTTAATAGGGTAAGTCACACAGATGCCCCACTTCCTTACAAATTATGAGGTATAAATCAAAATAGGTATCAGTCTAGAAAAAGAATACCAGTGGCTTTTTGGTGCTTGGTAAATGGTTTTAATCCAAAATATTTATTTATTCTTTCCAAGAGAATTTAGAAATTAAATCTGTTCACTGAGTGTGCTGGGTCTAGGGCCTCTGGGGAAGTGTAGACCAAGGTCAGTCACTGCTTGTGTTCTTTCTGGGGTCACCTGGCATAAGCTACAATGTGATCTGCAGATGGCCGCTAATTGTGCTGGACTTGGAGGTGCCAGGTGAGTCCAAGCTGGGGAAAAAGCTGGCTGCTACTAGTACCCGGCCTGGGGCTACTTAGCTTGAGGTACAGGTCACACAGGTCAGAAGCTGCTTGTTTGAGAGATTTTCGGAAAATCTAAGGCATGAGCCACGACAGGCCATTCATATAGAAAAGCCATTGGAAATTGCTCGGGTAGGCGCCAAAGTTGGGTGGGGCTGAGTCTCAGGGAAACACCAGGGCAGGGCAAACAGTGTGAACCAGGTTGTTGGAATCTCAGATTGGAGGCGGCCTACTAGATCTGTTAGGGGTAAAGGGGGTGAAGGGCTTATCAAAGAAACAATGGCCTCTGCCAGCACGTCTGTCTGGGATAAAGCTCACCCTTCCCCACTCCTTGCCCTGATACCAGACTCCCCATTTGTCTCTAGTGCTTTTTAAGCTTCTGCCCCAGTGCTGAGGGAGTAAGTCTGAGTAAGTCTGTGCACAGGCCTTTAAAAGGAACTGCCTGGGACTCCAGCAGCCCTTGTTCTTCCTCAGCCTCATCCCTGCTGGTATTTTAAAGCCAGAAATTATGGGGACTTTTCTTCCTGGCACTAGAACCTTGGGATGGGAGGCCTGGTATGGCGTTGGGACCCCTCTTTCTTCAGGTGGGACTTCTGCAGTGGACATATCCCTCCTGATTTTTATCTGCCACATGAGATGGATAGAGAGTTAGACCAGCCTGTTCTGCTTCTTCACCCCTCCTACCAGTCTCCATGTGGCTTCTTCTTTACTTCTCTAGTTGTAGGACTTCCATTCAGCCAAATTATAGGCAGTTCTGAATGATGATTGGTCTGTATTTTAGTTATAGTTTTATGTGGTTGAGGGAAGAAGTGAAGATCGCATTTTACCTATGCTATCATCTTGACCAGAAGTTCCTCTTTTGGATCTTGACATCAGGCATGGACTTCCTATTTGGATATATAGTGCTCTACCAAGTTCTGGTTTGATACTTTTTATCTAGTTGGTATTTGATATTTATAAATATAATTATTTTTGATATATGATTATTTATATTTACATGAAATGGTATTTTCACAAAAAGGATTAGGAAAATTGCTACTTTGATTTAGATATATCTGGGGGTTATCCTGCTAGTCATCACATCATTTGATGCCCAAGAAAGAGCACCAAATTTAGAGTTCATTTTGGCTTTAAGCTTTTTTGGTTTGTACCCAGATTTTAATATATGGACTTGTCTATGGCTCCTAACATAATAACTACTAATTATTGTAATTAAATGAACAAATAATAAGATTTGCTCAAGAAAAGTTGACTTTAGAAAAGTATATCTCATTCTAACAGTTTTCACTCTAAGTAGTAAAGGTTATAATTGCATGCAGGAAGAACATTAAGCATGAGCTTGGAGAAAGAAAGTAAGTAATTTGCTGAGGTGTACCAAGGGCATATGAATTCAGAAACATTTGGCTCACTCTTGCTGAAATGTCTGGGATGCTTTCCCAGATAGGAACTTTAAGTAATTTTTTTTATAAAGCTAGAAACTTCTGATAAAAATGAATTCATCTTTTGGTGAACTACAGACATAACTGTTCTCTTTCCCCTTCCACAGTCTTATGAATATATATAATGTGCAGGCATATATATCCCAACCAAGACTTATTTCTCCATGCAAATGTTTAATATATGTTTCAAACTCTGTAAGAAATGAGATTTTCATGAGACTGCCCCTTACCTTCACTAGAAAATATGGGGGAGGGGGGGTTTGGGGAGAGGGAAGTAAATAAAAGGACTTTCAGAAACCTGGAATTAGGAAATAAAAGTGTAATATGAATAGCATTCTAGAGGAAACACTTTTCCTGCATCCTATAAATTGCTTCAAAAACACAAGTTTAAAAGTGTCCATTAGGAACTACTCCAGGGCTCTCGAGCACATGAGCTAGATATTTAAATCTTGCTCTCTTAAAAATTAAAAAGAGACAACTTGCTAGACTGGTTTGGCTCAGTGGTAGAGCGTTGGTCTGCGGACTGAAAGGTCCGGGGTTCGATTCTGGTCAGGGGCATGTACATTGGTTGCGGGCACATCCCAATACGGGGTGTGCAAAAGGCAGCTGGTCGATGTTTCTCTCTCATCGACGTTTCTAGCTCTCTATCTCTCTCCCTTCCTCCTCTCTATAAAATATCAATAAAATATATTTTTTAAAAAAAAGGAAAATGATGAAGCTTTAAAAAAAAAAGAGACAACTTATGAGGGTATGTTGATATCTTATTATTTATTTTGTTCATGTTAAAAGTATTTATCAATTCTAAAATTCTCAAAACACAGCTGAACTTTGTCTTACCCCTTTGGCTTTTGTAATGTTCCAAAGGGAACAAAAAGGCAGGATTATTGAATAGAATTCAGGTCAGTTTTATTGCCATGGAAACAAGGCCAAAATGTATGAGCCACACCTGAAACCATTATCAATCCCATCACAGAAATTCTTGTGGGAAACAAGATAAAACTTGCCAACATAAGCTTCTTATAAGGGAAGCCAACTTTTACACTGGCCAAATTTCATAAAGATAAATACCTTCAAACCTCCTCTATTTACTTGCCTATTTATCTTCTCTGATTTCTAAAAATGAAAATTATTTCAAGAATGAGACTACTCACATTCTCAGTTTTATATATGCATTCATTCCACACACACACACACCCCCTCAAAAAAAAAAAAAAAAACCCTCAGGTTGTTCCAGTAATCAGTATATAATCAGCACAGAGTGAGATACCTAGAGCCATTATTCACAGAAAAAAAACAAAATGACTTACAAGATCCAACTAGTTTGGAGTGACTCTAAGCAATAAAATGACTCCATTTTGTCTTGGCAAACTTACTTGGCAAAATATCAGGTTACGCTTCAAACAAATAAAACTGAGTTTCTATTTTGGTGAATAGACTCATATATTGTAGTTTTGTTATTAACATGACTAATCAATCAGCTCTCTATTGAGGGATTATTGTGTGCTCTGTGGACATGGTTAAGAAAGATTCGGCAAATCACCCTACTCAGGGAGAGAGATAACAGAAATCCAGTTAGTGCCATTTGTGCCAATCATACCCAAGGACTGATGAAGTCAGAAGAATAAATCTCATTTTGGTGCATTGGCATAAAGCTGATGAGTATTCTATTGGGACCCTCCCCTAAGACCTCACCTAGAATTCTTGCCTTTGGAAAACGGTTCTCTGCCTCTAGAGCATGCCCTCACCTTTGCCCCTTCTTTCCCTGGCATGCTGTGCCTGGAGCACATCTCCGCCCTTCCCTTCCCCTTTTCTTTCCCCCAGGCACATGACCTTTGCTTTTCTCTCCTGTGAGCTCCAAGGGCCTTTTTTTTTTTTTTTTTTTTTTTTTTTTTTGCCTTTGTAACTTAGTTCCTGAGCCCATGCAGCCTAGCTGGCTCACCTTTTCTACCTCTGTGACTTTCTAAATAAACGTTCGTTTGTAATTGGGGGGGGGGGGGGGGGAGGCAGGAGAAAGATGTGGCAGTAACTCCTCTGAGGCTTCTGCTCACTCCTCAAGTGTGAGCAGAGACAAGGTGAAGTGGTCTGGCCCTCCTGGAGCTTCCCTCCATATGAAAAAAGGGTTTATATTACCATTGAACATCAACTTCCTGGTTCATAGGTCAATCTCAACCTCCTGGTTCATAGTTTACCACTCAATCAGAGTCATACAGGCTGGTTGATATTATTTTTTTAAATAGATATTTTGTCATTTATAACAAACAAAATACACTATTTACAATTAATCTAAAAATGAAGAAGTCTACTTATTTTAGGTCTGGGACCATTTTTGTTATAAATCTTCTCAAAAATATTGTAACCTTAAGTTTTATCTTAATTTTTAAAAATATTCCTGATTTTTTTTGTTATAGTGTATGAATTATTCAGTACTTGTCATCTGAATTATTAAATAAAAAAGCATAATGTGTTTAAGACTGTTTTTCAAATATAAAAGGTCTGACTGTACGAAGAATTATACCATGTAAACATTTCATCTTTTCATGAAAGTGTTAAATATTGTAAGAAAGCTGTCCTTTCTCATTCTTATCTTTACTATGATGAATTTATTGTAACATAGAAATGAATGGTTATGGATTGCTGTTAATTATAAACAATTCTGCATATTAGTATTTATTGACCACCTACTGTGTGTACATCACCACTGGCAAAAAATTTAAGGCATTGTTAATATTAAAGAACTAGAGGTCCAGTGCATGAAAATTCCTCAGCTAGGCCTGCCCCCTCTCACCATCTGGGAGCCCTCAAGGGCGGGAGGTGAAACTGATGCCCCATCACACCTTCACTGCTGCCACTGCTGGCTGTGCAAGCCTCAGTCAGCCCTGGTTACCTGAGCCTTGGGCAGCCCTAGTGGCTGGGCAGCTGCCATCCAAGACTTGCCTGTGCCTCAGGCCAGCTCTGGGGGGCTGAGGGGACTGGGGGACTCTGGAGGCAGGGCTGAGGGGACTGGGCACTGCTATCTTGTGTTTGTGGGTGCCACCATATTTGAGGGCAGGGCAATCAATTAGCATATCCCCTCCTTATTAAATATTGTAAGAAATGTGGGCACTGCCATCTTTGAGGGTGGAGCAATCAATTAGCATACTCCCTCCTTATTTTTGTTTTACTGGATTTATTAAAATTTTTAATTTTACTTATGTAAAAGCTCTTTACTGATACA